CAAATGATGACTGTTTGATGCATATAAAAACAATAGTGCTGCTAATTACTGAACAACCTGGTTGCTAGTTAATACTTTGGATTAAAATGCATTTTGTAATTGTAAGAGAGAATTGAGCTCTTGAAGAAAACTAGCAGTTCTGCACTACAAGCATCACGAAGCCCATTGCTCAACTCAAGCATATAGTTTTAATTTGTGAAGGGATATATTTTATTTAGACCTTTGTTGCCTGTGTTTAAGGCATATATATGAGTCTAATCACATTTTGGCAATATGATTTGCAAAATTCAAATGTCTGCTACATTTTACAAGTCACTAATATCTCAGCTGCACAATGAAGTTAAAAAAGTGTTTTCTAGATGTCTCTCTTAGCAGAGAGTTTCATTCCATTTCATTAAACTTCAATATTAGAGTTTCTGGACCACAAGATTTCTTACCATTCATTTTTACTATCCAGAAAGAGTAGATATATATGGGAGACAGGTTAAACAGCTTCTAACTGCTAAGTCTCCCTTCTTCTTTCCTAGTCACTAAAAATGCATAATGCTTGAAAAAGATCTTCACTGAGTTTATTAGCAACAAGCACGTAATCACCTATGGGTATTTAGATGTCAAAGACCCAAGCCTCTGAAATGCTAGATGTATTTGCAGCTGAAGAAACTTTCACCTAAACCAAATCAACACGAAGTGGAGGGGAAATGAGTAAGTGTAGGGTCCTAAATTAATACAGTGAAGAGAAACTATTCTAGGTCAGATTTATATCATTCTTATATTCCCTTCACTGGATCACTATGGTGTTAGACACTCATCTTGAATTTCTGCCCAAAAGGTCTTCAAAGAAACATTGGTACAGTGCTCTTGCCTTTTTCCAAAGAGTAAAAGGCGTTTTTTTCTTTTTGTAATACCACATTAAGAAGGAACAGTTAAGAACTTCTGAAGTCAGTCTAATCCTTGAGAAAAGTGGAAGTGCAAGTGAACACAGGCATTCAAGGCAGATAGCAAGACCAAAAAAGGAGGGTATAGAGGTTCAGTACTAAGGAGCATGCTCTTCTACATTTATATATTTCCTGAAACATCCTGCTTTTGAAAGATTTTTAGCTTAACCAGATACAGCAGCCAAGAACAGAAAGATTTCTGCACCATTTACCTACATAATGCAATCACAGCATTAACTATTAGTAAACCTATGAGTAGCATCTACTCCAAGGCCAGCTTTGTACAAAGCATAGAGATATTTCCATCTGAGAAAAGATTAGATTGATACCTGTCTAATTCTTGCCTCAAAAAGGAGCCTTTAAAAGCTAAACATTCCACTTAGATTTAATTTTGAAGAGATTTCAGACCAGTTTTTCACTGAGACTGAAAAAAGCAAACATGTGGTTACAGATTAGAATTTCATTATAGATCACATCATAGATTTTTTAAGACAGAAGATGCATTTCAACATGAGATTGCAAAACAAAAAAAGAAAAAAAAAGGCATCAAAACCAATCAGACTTCAACCAATAACAGATTTTACCCCACCTTTGGCACTGTCAGTGAAACAAACTTCAACATTTGAACAGATAATCAGTGTTTCTTCCCCACCCTCTTTTACAAAAAAGGGAGTGTACAGTGTTTATATTTCACTGCAGATTTTTAACTACACAAATTAAGGTTCAGCCTTGAAAGATGCTACATAATTGGAGAAGTTTATTGTAATCTGCAATAATTAGAAGATTGTACATAACCTACTGTTTTCCTTGCAATTTTTTCAAACTCAAAAAGGATAATTGCCAAGCAACAAAGTCTTTTGTTATATTAATCATTGATGCACAATATTTTTACAGGATTTGTTTTGAGCAAACACTACAGAATGTTACCCAAAAAAGTTAGTACTTACTATTCCAAGACTAAAATCATCTCTGTTGCAGTTTCATAAACTTCATGCAAGTTAATGACCCAAAGGTTGCATTGTGCCAACTCGAGAACTGCAATTTCATGGATTATTTCCATTCGACAATCTTGGCCCTTTCTTCTTTTTCTCATGAATTTTGCTGCAAACTCCTTTTCAGTTCCTTTCTGGATGCACTTCTTCACCACAGCAAATTTTCCTCTGAAACCAAAGAAGAACTGAAAGTTAAACATAAGTCATATAACTTAAGTACTGCCCTTATAATTTAGCACTTCAGGAAATTTGATTAAAGAAAAAAACAAAAACAAAAACCACTGCATGTTAAAATAGGTCCTCAGTTTATAAGTTAGGAACATCACAGCCTAGAATGCTCTTTGGTCATTTCCACCAAAAAATAAAGACTTATCCGTCAATTCAGGAAACCTATGATTTCAGAAATACTAAACAAAAACTGTGCTTTTTTATTTCAGAAATACTGAACAAAAACCCCTCATAAGAAAACCTTTTGAAAGCAAGGTGTACACATGTGCAATTTGTTCTTTACGTGAGTACATTAAAATAATTTAAGTATTTGATATACCCTATTCAAGGCAACAAAAATTAGCACTCTTACTGAATCATTTCTCAATATCCTGTTCCACTTTTTATGCAGTATCCAGATGCTGCATTGCATAATGAAAAATAAACTTGTAGGCTTTTCTGTGACTGTTTCTCATATCAAAGCACTTCCCAAAGCAACCTCCAGGAAACTACTGATAAAAAAGCGTTGCCTCGTTTTACAAAAAGCAAATAGCAGCAGAATGCTTAAGGACTGAGATAGCTACCAATTCCAAGTATCCTATTTAAAACACTATGATGTGCATTTTCAAAGGTGGAACATGGTATTTTCACATGCTATACTTCCAGTGATAACAGCTATAGCTTTGATTGTTTAACAATTTTCAAAATCCCTTATTTCCGGTCTCACTGTATGCGCAAGAGACACAAAGTTCATTAAAAGAATAAGCAATTTAGCCCAAACAAACCATTCCAACAAGATTTCTATGACAATATTAGTATGAACACACACAAACCAGAACTAAACATAGTGTTTAACACACTAACGGGTATCATTTTGGACAAAATATACAACTGTACAGTGTACAGTTTTCATGCGTAAAAGCTGCAGAAATAGTTTCAAAATTCTTTATTGCAGCTTTTAATTTAACTTATTGTAGCCTAAGCAAAACCAAATAAGAGTCCTCATCTTCTTTGAAATAGAGCTACATGGATTTTGCCTCTCCCCTCTCCAAACTGAAGTTTACAGAATTAACTCATTCAGCGTTATGTCAAAACTCTTCCACTTACAGATCTTAACCTATGGGCAGGCTGCCTCCCATGAGAAAGGAAAGAATTATTTTAAAAGTTGTAGTCAGTTGGCTTAAAATAGATACTTGTTTCAGAGTTGTCCAGTCAAAACAAATGAAGCTGAATAAACAGCCACAAAGTGGGCATTTGGTAGATGATCTGACTAAAATAATCTGACTTGTAACTACTGAAGCAACCACAGCATTTCTCTAGGAATAACATATTGCATAAGCACACATTATTTTCAGCATTATAGATATTGGAAAAGATCAGAGCCGAGTCCAAATATCCGTGAGGACAGACACACAGTAACAATATGCTTTAAATGCCTTGAATCTAATTACTGGGAGAAAGTTCTAAATTAACAACATAGGTGTTATGACAATATTACAGCTTTGTAAATGCAGGAAAACATTATTATGGCTTTGCAGAATAAGGAAGGTTTGGTCAAGAGATAACTAAAAAAAAAAAGCTTTAACGAATATGAAAATTACCACAGAATGCCATAAAAGGAAGAGCCACCTAAAGTCCCAAATAAAGGCTAATAATTTTTGAGGCCACTGGTAAATCAAAAAACACATTGGACGAAATCAAAAAACGTGTTCGGGGGGACAGCTTGTGGGGAAGGACAGAAATAGCCCAAGAGGGTGCGCTCAGAATCCAAGGAAAAGATGCTGTGTGGTCAGTGTTTCCTCTTAAGCAGAGCTCTAAGAGGCTTGCAACGCGCGTGTCGCAACCGCAAGGGTGAACGCCTCTCCGGCACTGCCAGCAAGAGCAGCCGTGCTCATGGAGCCAGGGAGAAGGCAGACATGCATCTCTGACACATTCATGAGACGAATTTAGGCATTTACGGAGGTGTAACAATCTCTGCTCAAGCTAAAGAAAGAAACTCTAAGACCCTTAACAGCAAGTTATTTTAATACCTGGTGATTCTAAACCTTTATGCCAAAAATCTAGACCCTTGGCTTCAGCCCTTGCAGATTTTTTTTTTCTTAAGTAGTCTCTGAACTCCTCCTTACTCCCTAATCAAAAGCTGTTTAGAGAGGTTTAAAATCTAGAATTAGCACTGGTTTTCAGAAGCACACTTTTAAGGGTGTTTAAATCAGCAGATCTACCTGGAAGCCAGCAAGCAGTCTAATGAGAGCCCCATGGCTGCTGATGTACCTACCACACGTGAGTCACTATGGAAATAAAGCAATATTGAAGGGACAGAAAGGGGCAGCCCCCAGTGTGTGTGGCCAAGCGTGTGCAGCAGAGCTGAGCTGGACAGAAGCCTGATAGGCGACGTAATTAAACAGGCAGGTTACCCAAGTGCTCAGCCGGCTGACAAGCGCCAGCTCCGGGTTGTTCCGAGATGAAGAATCCCGCCTGGATTCTTGATGGCTACACCTATAATTAGAGCTGTTGCAGCTACTGTCTGCAGAACTCGCCTCTTCTGAATTTATCCCCCCATTAGATCAGACCTAGAGAAAATTGATGAGCTTTATTAGTTATAAAGTTTATTCCTGTGCAGCTACCTCAGCTCCTGTCTGAGATGAATTCAGAGCTAAGATCCAAAGACACCATCCACTGGACCCGCAAAGCCAAGGAATACATACACACACACACACAGACACACACATATTTTTAAATACAGATAACATAATAGGTGTAAACAAGTGTTCTGATAAAATACAAAAAACTGCATACATACTTCACTGCTGCATTTCTTAAAATATTTCTCTCAATTGCTTACAGAAAAAATACATCTGCTCTTAAAAGTATTATTAAATCACAGCACTGCTAGTTTTGCTCTGTTAAGAACTATAGCGGGAATGTCATATTTAAGGAAGAACAATTTTGAAAAGATATTTTTCATGTTTGGTCCGAAAGTTAAATATGGACTACTAGATATCAAAGCAATACAAACAAAATGCTTTAAGACAGGCAAGAATAGGACACCAGAAGTAGCTCTCAGTCTTCACAGGAGTCTTGCTCAAGAAATGTTATTTAAGATGCATCATGCTGAATTATGAAGAAACTCAGAGTCATCTTTTTAGACTGTCAATAGAATCAACATCATTTCAACCGGCACAGAACACCCTAAGAGCTTAAGAGAAAAAAGTATCACAAATCAAATGCTGAGTCAGAGAAGCAAGAACATTTACATCATACCAATTAATTTTGGTTGTCACAGGCTGCAAAGAACAGAGAATTAACCTTTAATGAATATTTTTAAAGTGACCCATAAAGGACTTTAACTCCTTTTAGAAAGCTTAGAAGACCTTTCTGAGATCCACAAAACTACATACAGCTACATATGAAATAATTCATACTGCAAATTTTGATTAACGTATGCCTATGTTTTCAGTTTCTACTAACTTCAGTTTCTAAGTAGAGAGTCGTGCTGATCGTGTGCAATTTACTCATACAAATTTAGCCTCAATGCTGGAACCAACTACTTGCAGGTCTCCGTTCCTAACTTTATGCATTTACTTTAACTTTATTCCACAGCTGTGTTTTACCCTACCTGTGCTACTGCAAAAAACATCTTAGAATAAAATGTGATCACATATGCACTCTTAGCGTTGCACAAAATTGTGCAAGCATCTAAGAGCAAATAAGGTGCAAGTTAGAAAACTACTCGAGTAAGTGCTTAAGAAGTGCATAAGAGTAGGCAAAAGAAACTGCACACAAGTTACATGCACATGAAGTTACAGTTAGATCCGTAGTTGAAAAACTCCCTTAATGCTCCTTTCAGCTCCTCAGCTGATTTAAATACTTCTGCTTTTTAGCTCTGAGTAAATTTTTAACAAAAAGTGCACCGACGACAATCACCAGAAGTACACTCTGTAGAGCTTGCCTGTTTTGCCAGGAGTAGATTGCTATTTCTAGAACTGATCATTTATGACCACTGTTACCTACCAGTGAGAAGAAAACTAGGTCTGCCATTTACTACTTTTTGTATACAAATTATGAGTATCAGTCTGGACACAACTTGCTCACATCAGTACTCCACACCACAACACTCTATCCATGAGCTTAACAAAAAATAGATCAGATGATAATATCTTGTTCACAATTACTTCCATGAAAGAACCTCCAAAGTGAAACAGCCAAGTATATAAATATAATTACACTAGACACTATATAAGCTTTGGGAAATATAAATCAGTGATGAAAAATGTTAATTGGGGTGGTGTTTCTGGAAGATGGAGTTTAGGTATTCAGAAAGTACCAAGAGTATACTTACGAGTATCCTTCAACTTAGTGACCACAAAAATATAAAAATATTGTTCCTCATTTAACACCAAAACTTCAGCTTGACTGCAGTGGGTACGGGGAGCAGCCAAGCAGCTGATGCCTGCCCTATCCCCTGCAGAGGTTACACTCCTCAAGCCAATGTAGCACAAGCTAGTGCAGAAGCCAGAGAGAACTGCACACCAATGGCATCTCTGAAATGCCCAACAGCCCTTTGATTTTAAACCCTACTCAAATTGAAATGGAGATCTGGGTGGAAAGATTCTGGTTTCAAGACAAAGTCAATAAGACTGTGAAGATCAGCCCAAAATTTAACTTACTAAAATATTCAGTTAAAAAAAAAAAGTGACTCTGTTTTCCATGTTAGTTTAAGCAACTTGAAATATTTTTCCAGATTAGCCATTGTACCAAGATTTTAGTATTTTTCCTGAATTCATCTGTAGGTTTTTTTTTTTTTTTGCCTAGCAGTTGTAGTTGAATAGACTCACTCACTTCTAGGGCTAAGTCACCCTCGTCGGTGTCTGTCCTTGCTTCCTCTCACTTCTCACCTCCTCTGCTTAGAGGTGACAAGGGACCCAGGACAAAGGGCCCAGTGCCACAGCCAGCTCCAACGCACATATGTGTGGGCTGAACTGGAGGCCAAAGAACTCGTACCTCCCGAATTCATGCAGCTGCACTGCTCTCAGCAGCAGTACTGAATTTGCTTCCTTTTAAAACCAACTCTAAACAAAATTTATGTGAACAATTTTTTTTTGAAATCTCTATCCGGAGATCAACTTTTAAATCATTTTTCCCTCAATTCAGCAAAAAGGGATTGACTAGTAGAGACTCTATCACCTTTGTTTCCTCAGAAAAATGGAATTAAAATAACGTATGTTACATGTACAGAGCTGCATTTTGTCCAAGACCTAAAAATGTGTCACATATGGTTGACAATCTGTCCCAAGTCCTTTGCAAAGATAAACCCTACTTGGAAGTAAAAACTTCTGTGCTTTCTAAACAGATTAAAAAAAAGAAGAAACTATTTCTGTCAAGTGTACTTTCTTAACAAGATGTAAGACATTTAGAAATGTTAGAGGGACTTCCATTTGACTCTCTTGCTTTGTCGCAATGAGTTGGCAAGAAAAAGTCTATCATGGAAGTGCTTCTGCTAAAAACCTACTTTCGTTATGCAAGTGCCATAGGAGCACCCTAAACATTACAAAATCTTGACCTAAAAAACAGTACATACATTCAAATGTACCAATTTCTGTATCTAAGAGAAGATAATGACAACAGTCTGAAACTGTTGTGAAACGCAAGACAAACATTTAGAAGAGAAAACTTTTTAACATAATTGTAGGTACACAACCACCATGTGAAGATCACCTCCACATCCAGGGTTGGTCAAGAATAACTCTATGCAGAAAGCCACATCGAGGTTTACTGTTCAACCTAAAGAATGAGATTTGCAGCAGCATGAATTGCTGTTCACTTAGGTTTTAGTTTGTGCACCCAAAGGAACCACTACCTTCACCTAGTATTTTTTTGATGAGTATGGTTAATGAATATCAACCAGCTTGTAATATAAGCTTTCCCTCCACGGCACAGCTACTAAGTCTTTGCTAAAAAGCCACCCGAGCTCTGAAGAAATAAAAAAAACACATAAACTGTGAGTACATCCTGTGTTGCGTTGCCCCGGTGGCTACTTAACCGCTGCTCAGTATTTGCAGTGTTTTCTGGCCCATATTTACCTAGCTTCAGTCCGCAGGCCCTGGCATGGGGGTTATGTCACACTGAAGGGAGCTTCCTGGCTCTGTGGGCTCCTTCTCCCACCTGCTTCTCAGTGTGAATGCTCCAGGCTACTATGTTTAAGCAAGCGTTAGTCTATTACTATCCCAGTTGCTAAGGCGAGCATTGGGTTGGCACATTTTTTGAAGCACTTACAGCAGCTACGTGTGCTCTGCAACACTCCTTGTCTCTTTCTCACCAAAAAGGTTACTTTTGCTGCTGCATAAATGCAGCTGTGCAGCTACCTTAGCTTGCCAAAAATGCATATTAAAGAGCATATCTTACAGTCTATCTTGGGCTGTATCATCTCATCTTTTTGATCTGAAGGCTCTTTATCTAAGGGACACGAGATCCTGAGCAAGAGCGCTGTCATTAGTGCAAGCAGTGACAGACTTTCAGGCAGAAGCACTGGTCTAGCAGTGCTGAAAAACTCCACACATCCTGGTTTTGGGATGTAAAACCTTTTAACGAAGCTTCCGCCTCGAAGCTCGCTGGCAGCCTGCGAGGTGCCTCTCAGAACCCGAGCGTGGATCCAACCTTGGCTGCAAGGCGCTGGCGGAGTCACCTGCAGAACCCGAACTCTTTAGCTTTTCACTTCTTTGCGTGAAATTTCACCCCCGCGTAAGGCAGCGACCGGCTCCCCCCGCACTCACCTGCCGAGCTCCCTGCCGGGGCTGAGGCTGTAGCGCTCCTGGAAGGGCTCGGTGCGGATGGGCGTGCGGATCTCGCTGAGGAGGCCGCCTC